TGACCTCGTGATCCACCCGCCTCGGCCTCCCAAAGTGCTGGGATTACAGGCTTGAGCCACCGCGCCCGGCCTGTTTTTAAGAATTTTAATCCTCATCTTTGTGATGGTAAATATTATGTACTTTAAAACAATTTTTTTTTTTTTTAATTTTTATGGCTACCCTAGTAGATGTATCTTATATTACGTTGTGTTTTTTTTTTTTTTGAAATGGAGTCTCTGTCACCCAGCCCAGGCTGGAGTGCAGTGGTGCAATTTCGGCTCACTGCAGCCTTCACCTCCTGGGTTCAAGTGATTTTCCTGCGTCAGCCTCCTGAGTAGCTGGATTTACAGGCGCCTGCCACTGTGCCTGGCTAACATTTGTATTTTTAGTAGAGACAGGGTTTCACCATCTTGGCCAGACTGGTCTTGAACTCCTGACCTCGTGATCCACCCACCTTGGCACTCCTAAAGTGCTGAGTTTATAGGTATGAGCCACCACGCCTGGCCTCTTCATACTTGAGTATGTTTCTAACAGATGAGGGCTTAGTTTTCTTTTCTTTATCTGACAGTTTTCCCATTACCCAGTGTTCCGTTTTTCCTAGTTTTTGCAAAGATTACTTTGTATAGTTGGATTGTTTGAATATGCAAAATGTATCACAGAAAAATGTAGAAAATGTGAACCATGAACCAAAGCATGATATAGTAACCTTTCCTGTGTACCCATTACCTATTCTTTGTTTTTCAGTGACCTCTGTACCTCTCACTCCCTCCCCACATACTTCTGGATTACTTGAAAGGAAATGTATATGTTATTATCATCTAGAAGTACTTCAGCATGCATTTCAAAGGGAAAAATCTTTGTAAAAAAATATGATCACAACATCATCACATCTGAAAAATGGATCATTTGTTAATAGTACCAGTAGTCCAGTACATGTTTTTTATTCCTTTGTCCTGCCTACTAAATTTCCTCTCTTTTTTGAGACAGGGTTTGGCTTTGTTGCCTTGGCTGGGAGCAGTGGCACCATCATGGCTCACTGCAGTCCACCTCCAGGGCTTCAGGCATTCGTGCTTCAGCCACCCGAGTAGCTGGAACTACACAGGTGCACACCACCATGCCCGGCTAATTTTTGTATTTTTTATAGAAATGGGGCCTTGCTATTTTGCCCAGGCTGGTCTTGAACTCCTGGCCTCAATCAGTTTGCCTGCCTCAGTCTCTCAAAGTGTTGGGATTACTGGCGTGAACCACCATGAACCTCTTGTTCTTTTTAAAGCAAGAGGAGGTTCCCAGATACTTTTTAATACATTTAGTTCTTATAAGCATCATGTGTGAAATAGCTATAAATTAAGATAAATTTGATTTTAGCAAAGTATTAATGTTAGGTGTTGATACATAGAAGTGTACTTTAGTGCAAGTGAGTTAGATCTTAAATTATTTTTCAAATATTAAGTGAGGAAGAGAAGAACTGTGTTAGCTATGACTCTGAATGCCTTTGAATTCTAGGTTTTATTTTATTTTATTTTATTTTATTTATTTATTTAAGATGGAGTTTCACCATGATGGCCAGGCTGGTCTTGAACTCCTGACCTCAGGTGATCCACCCACCTCGGCCTCCCAAAGTGCTAGGATTACAGGCGTGAGCCACTGCGCCCAGCCGAATTCTAGGTTTTAAATGGAGATCTGTTTATGGCATTTTATAGTTACCTAAATAATTTTTAATAGATTATAAACATCTTAAACTGTAAATTTGTGAGTTATATGTAGATCATTATCAAATCCTCCATTGCACAAAATCATGAAGTTTTTCATAAAATGACTGGGAGCTGATAGTATGTGGAATGGCAAATCTCAAGCATTTTTTATTTATTAAGAGACAGGCTCTTACTGTGTTGCCCAGGCTGGCCTCAAACTTCTGGACTCAAATGATCTTCCCGTCTTACAGCCTCTGGAGTAACTGAGTTTACAGGCACATCCTCACACTTTCCAAAAGATCATGCAAACCATGGCCTGCATGGTGGGAGGCCAAAGCAGAAGTATCACTGGAGGCCATTTTTGAGACCAGCCTGGGCAACATAGTGAAACTCTGTCTATGAACAGATTTTTTAAAAATGTCTTAACTGGCCGGGCGCGGTGGCTCACGCCTGTAATCCCAGCACTTTGGGAGGCTGAGGCGGGTGGATCACGAGGTCAAGAGATCGAGACCATCCTGGTCAACACAGTGAAACCCCGTCTCTACTAAAACTACAAAAAATTAGCTAGGCATGGTGGCGTGTGCCGGTAATCCCAGCTACTCAGGAGGCTGAGGCAGGAGAATTGCCTGAACCCAGGAGGTGGAGGTTGTGGTGAGCTGAGATCGCACCATTGCACTCCAGCCTGGGTAACAAGAGCGAGACTCCGTCTCAAAAAAAAAAAAAAATGTCTTAACCATGTAAAGCAAAAGTTCTCTAGTGTTGACTGTCCATCTAGAATAAGGCTTTGTAAATGCCTGTCATGTCCTGTAGGTGAATAATCAAATCAGTTTAATGGGTACCTGACAAGCATTTTTAAAAATGGAATAGTCTGGGTGTGGTGGCTCATGCCTGTAATCCTAGCAGTTTGGGAGGCTGAGGCAGGCAGATCACCTGAGGTCAGGAGTTCAAGACCAGCCTGGCCAATGTGGCAAAACCCCATCTCTACTGAAAAATACAGAAATTAGCCGGGCATGGTGGTAGGCACCTGTAATCCCAGGTACTCAGGAAGCTGAGGCAGGGAGAATTGCTTGAACCCAGAGGCAGAGATTGCAGTGAGCCAAGATCATGCCACTGCACTCCAGCCTGGGCAAGAGAGCAAGACTCCGTTTTAGTTAATACACATACATGTATATTATGTATGCATGTATATTAAGTGATAATGTACTAGGTATTTTTGTCAGTACCAAAAAAGTTGGAAAAATATTTAAGTACCTAATCTCTGCTCACTGCAACCTCTGCCTCCCGGGTTCAAGCAATTCTCCTGCCTCAGCCTCCCAAGTGGCTGGGACTACAGGTGCGGGCCACCACGCCCAGCTAATTTTTGTATTTTTAGAGGAGATGGGGCTTCACCATGTTGGCCAGGATGGTCTCAATCTCTTGACCTTATGACCTTTCTGCCTGTACCTCCCAGAGTGCTAAGATGATAGGCTGAACCACTACGCCCAGGCCTGCATTGGTTTCTGTTCATAGTTACCCCCTCTTAGTCTCCTTTGACACCTACAGATCTTTTCTGGTTCATCATCCTAAGGGTTCAGTATTGGCCCCGTCTGCTGTCTGGAAGTGGAGTCCCACTTGTGTTGCTCTGTGTTGTGGGGTATATCCTGCTCCCAACTGCTCCAACCGGGAGAGACTTCTCATTGCTGTCTCCTGGTGTTTCTGCAGCCCTTTGCTTGTGATGCGATTTATCCTTTCCAAATTACCAGCTCCTTGAGGGCAGAAACTGGGTCTTAGGTTTGTGTCTTCTGTACACTCTGCTCCTCCCTTCGTAGACTTGCAGATACGTGCTTGATTTGAGTAAGGAAAAGTGATTTGCCTGTGAAGGATATTAGTCCCACTTGGAGCCGAAAGTGGGATTTTCTAAATCACTGAGGCTGTAATTTACTACTTTAATCTTCATAATCCATAGACTGTCCCTGACGGCAAAAGGGATCGGTGCTCAGTAGTGGCGGGGAGTTTGCAGCACAGACCTTGACTTCAGGCGTCTGTTCTGGATTGGCACGCTCTGCTGATCTGTATCCTGTTTTACATGCACTCCTGCTGGCCTAGCATAGCCTCAAACCTGTTTGCTCTGCCCAGGAACATTTTAGAACTGTTATTAAACTTTTATATACTACTTGGTACTTATGAAATCTTTTTATGATCAGTTTTAAGCTTTATAAAATTAGGATTTGAAATATAACAGACAAGAAAACGTAGGTACAGAGGCAATTGGGCAGAGGTCCTACATCAAGCTAGCTAAGGTTGTCAGGTGAATCTGTTCTCTCATGTGTTACTGACCTACGTAGGAATTTCATAAAACACACCTTATTTGTTTTTATTTATTTAACTTGAGACGGAGTCTCACTCTTTTGCCCAGGCTGGAATGCAATGGCATAATCTCGGCTCACTGCAACCTCTGCCTCCCGGGTTCAAGCAATTCTTCTGTCTCAGCCTTCCAAGTAGCCAGGACTACAGGTGCGCACCACCGTACCTGGCTAATTTTTGTATTTTTAGTAGAGGCAGGGTTTTACCACATGGCCAGGCGAGTCTCAGACTCCTGACCTTGTGAATACACCCACCTAGGCCTCCCAAAGTGCTGGGATTACAGGCGTGAGCCACGCGCGCCTGGCCTAACACGGTTTATTTGTCTTAGTCACCCTTGTGTCTCAAGTGACTGTCACACAGTGGACACTTCATCAGTGCTAGCTTGAGTAAAGTCACATGGCCCCGCTGCGCTGCCCCCTGGTGATTTCATTGCATGGGATGACAAGGTAACAAGTGCTTAAGTCCTGTGGAAGGGACTACTACGTCTGGTAGGACGCGGGAATATCAGGGCTGTTCAGTTAATTATTGAAAAGTCTAGAGTATTAAGCCACTGGTGGGGGTGTGACGCACGAGTGAGTTGAACAAGCTGGTGGCCTTTGGTGTATCTTTGCTCCAGAATTACGTCATCAGTTAGCTGTTAGGTGCGGCCATTTAGTATGTGCTCACTTTTCAAAATGGTTTGCCCCAAACCAGATTTTTCTATCTTCTCCAAAGCCAGAGCCACTCCTGCCATCCTAGTGCATTTTCAGTAGTGCCCCATGGTCTTCTGGCATTCAGCTGGGCTTCCTGTGCTCAGTCAGGGGTCAAGTCTGGCCTGATCTCAGTTCCACAGTTGTTCTGCTCTGTAAGCTTGAGCACATTTAGCAAGCCCTTGCACCTTCAAACACCCGAGAGTTTATCATCTCTCTTCATCCTCACCCTTAAGCTTTTAAAAAAATGATACCTGGTTAATTTAGTTTTTATGTATGTTACACATTTATAGACACACACATACTGTATATATACATGTTATATATGCCCTACACGGTTGTGAGCTACTTACACACAAGGGAATCTTTTTTTTTTTAAGATAGGATTTCTCCATGTTGGCCAGGCTGGTCTTGAGCTCCTGACCTCAGGTGATCCACCTGCCTTGGCCTCCCAAAGTGCTGCGACTACACGCATGAGCCACCACGCCTGGCACAAGGGAATCTTTTAACATCATTAAGCATCACTAGATGTTTAATGTTGAGTAATGAATTTAAAGTTTGTTTTGTGTTTTTTTTTTTAACATTCACCCTCCATTTTTATGGTTTTCCACATGTTTATTCTGTATCTTTTTTTTTTTTTCTCTCTCTCTCACTTTTGAGCGGGAGTCTTGCTCTATAGCCTGGCTGGAGTGCAGTGGCACAATCTCGGCTTGCTGCAACCTCCACCTCCCAGGTTCAAGCGATCCTCCCACCTCAGCCTCCAGAGTTGCTGGGATTACAAGTGTATGCCACCACATCTGGCTCATTTTTGTGTTTTTAGTAGAGACAGAGTTTCACCATGTTGGCTAGGCTGGGCTTGAACTTCTGGCCTCAAGCGATCCACCCACCTCGACCTCCCAAAGTGCTGGGATTACAGGCGTGGGCCACTGCGCCTGGCCTTTTTTCTTTTTTTTTTTTTCTTCTTCAGTTTGGAGACAGTCTCCCTCTGTCACCCAGGCTCACAGCAGCATCAACCTCCTGGGCTCAGGTGATCTTCCCACCTTAGCCTCCCAGGTAGCTGGGAATATAAGTCTGGGCCACCACACACAGTTGAGAGAGAGAGAGAGAGAGTGAGTTAGAGTTAGAGAGTTTGTGTGTGTGCGTGTATTTTTATTTTTTTAATTTATTGTGAGACAGAGTCTTTCTCTGTTGCCAGGCTGGAGTGCAGTGACATGACCTCGGCTCACTGCAACCTACGCCTCCTGGGTTCAAGCTATTCTGCCTCAGCCTCCCCAGTAGGTAGGACTACAGGTACGCGCCACCATGCCCAGCTAATTTTTCTATTTTTAATAGAGATGGCAGTTCACCATGTTGGCCAGGATGGTCTTGATCTCTTGACCTTGTGATATACCTGCCTCAGCCTGCCAAAAAGTGCTGGGATTATAGGCATGAGCCACCATGCCCGGCCAATTTTTTATATTTTTTTATGGAGATGGGGTCTTACTGTGTTGCCCAGGCTGGTCTCAAACTCCTGGCCTTAAGGGATCCTCCTGCCTCAGCCTCCCAAACTGTTGGGATTACAAGAATGAGCCGCCGGGCCCGGCCTTATACTGTATCTCTTCTTTTGTTGTTTGTATTTTGAGACGGAGTGTTGCTCTGTCGCCAGGCTGGAGTGCAGGCGCAACCTTGGCTAACTGCAACCTCGGCTAACTGCAACCTCCACCTTCCAGGTTCAAGCAATTCTGCATCAGCGTCCTGAGTAGCTGGGATTACAGGCGTGCACCACCACACCCAGATAGTTTTTTGAATTTTTGGTAGAGACAGGGTTTTGCCATTTTGGCCAGGCTTGTCTCAAATTCCTGACCTCAGGTGATCTACCCATCTCAGCCTCCCAAAGTGCTGGGATGACAGGCGTGAGCTATGGCGCCCAGCCTGTAGCTCATGTATTTATTATCCAGTTCTAAATAGTATCTTATTGAAAATATTTTAGGATTTATGGTCTTGGAGATGGCAATGATAGAGTAGTATTGGCAAAGGTTATTGAAATGCAAAATAAGTTGCATTTACTAGATCTGGAAAGGTGGGAGGAGTGGGCAAGTAGAATGCAAGTCTCTCGTAAACCTATTTTCCGGTGGTCTTAGAACATAACGTGGAACTTCCTATTGGAAAGTATCAGATTTCTGAATTATGAAACGTAAAACTTTTTTACCATCAAAGAATCATTACAGCTTGGTCAACCCATCTTCATAAAAATGCTTTGGTGAGTAATACTTGTTCACTATTTGAGACACTTGGAATGTACCTTCTGGAGGAAGTGGAGTTTCCATTATGATGTTTCTAGCAGTATATGGATGAAAGACCAGGTTGCTCTCTAAGATGGGTATTAGTATTTCCCCTGCAAGGGGGGTGACGTTGAGCAGGTCTTTGATTGTTGTGAAGGATCTCATTTATTTAAACGTACTTCCCGTTTAGGAAAAAACAGCTGGCTGCCAGCACAGTATTTTTGGAGCAAACAGGAAATGGGTTAAATGTCTGTTTCAAAAACACATCACTCCCTTAATTTTTTTTTTCCTCCTGAGTTTTCCAAACCTTTTATTTTGAAAATTTTCGAGTCTACAATAAGGTTGAAATAATGGTAGAGTGGGATGACGCTGGTGGATGCAGAAGTGACTGTTGTGCCCTGCTTGTCTGCATGCCTGCACACATGCCCTTTATGGTGACCTGCGTGAAAACAAATGTTGGCTGTCGGCACTTCACTCCTAACGACTTTAAGTCTCTCCTGGGTCATTTTGATACAATCTATGTATACTATATTTTGATTTCTTTCTTTTTCTTTCTTTCTTCTTTCTTCTTTTTTTTTTTTTTTTTTTTTTTTTTTAGATGGAGTTTCACTCTTGTTACCCAGGCTGGAGTGCCGTGGTGCGATCTTGGCTCACTGCAACTTCTGCCTCCTGGGGTCAAGCGATTCTCCTGCCTCAGCCTCCCAAGTAGATGAGATTACAGGTGCACACCACTACGCCCAGCTAATTTTATATTTTTAGTAGAGATGGGGTTTCTCCATGTTAGGCTGATCTCAAACTCCTGACCTCAGGTGATCCACCCACCTCGGCCTCCCAAAGTACTATGTTAGGATTAACTCAGTTTTACAAATAAAATAAAGCTTAGAGAAATTGAATAACTTCTCAAGGTCATAATGCTAGTAAGTGACAGGCTGGATTTAAACAGATACCTATGCAAAGTAAACGCTTGATATAACTGAGGAAGTGACATCGAGGTTTGAATGGATTGGTAAGGTACACCACGTATTTCAGGACCCCGTGAAGTATTGCATGAGAGTGTTATGTACATGAATATTTGCTCTGTAACATTGAAAATTTGTATTAGGACATTCTGTTTTTTGTTTTTTGAGATGGAGTTTTTGCTCTTGTTGCCCAGGCTGGAATGCAGTGGCACGATCTTGGCTCACTACAACCTCCGACTCCCAGGTTCAAGCGATTCTCCTGTCTCAGCCTCTTGAGTAGCTGGGATTACAGGCATGCATCACCATGCCTGGCTAATTTTGTATTTTAAGTAGAGACGGGGTTTCGCCATGTTGGACAGGCTGGTTTCGAACTTCTGACATCAAGTGATCCCCCAGCCTCTGCCTCCCAAAGTGTTGGGATTACAGGAGTGAGCCACCATGCCCGGCCTTATTAGGACATTCTTATGCCCATAGTCGAGCAGTAAGGGGAAATCATTTCATTATGTGTGAATGTGTTAAGCAGCTTCAGTAATCCTTCCTCTGAATCCAGCATTACTTCTAGACAGTCCCTTTCCGTATTTCTTAGCACCATGGTGTGTGAAGGAGGGTATTTGCTTAGGTTTTAGAGTGTAAATACTGCAGATAGCAGATTCTGAGTGAATAGGAGAGAAGCAGTTGTCTTAGGAAGGCATGTTATGTTTAGGCTGGGCATGGTGGCACACGCTCCAGCACTTTGGGAGGCCAAGGCAGCCAGGTCACCTGAGGTCAGGAGTTCGAGACCAGCCTGGCCAATATGGTAAAACCTCATCTCTAGTAAAAATACAAAAAGTAGCCAGGCGTGGTGGAGCATGCCTGTAATCTCAGTTACTCAGGAGGCTGAGGCAGGAGAATCTCTTGAATCTGGGAGACAGAGGTTGCAGTGAGCTGAGATCACGCCACTGCAGTCGAGCCCGGGTGACAGAGACATAGTTCATCTTACAGATTTTTTCTTTTTCTTTTTTTGTTCTTTCTCAGGCCATTCGCCGTAACAGTCTTATGGTGCGTTCGAGCAGAGTGCCTCACCGGGGCGCTGGCCAGGTGGCTCAGTGGAAGACAACTTGACTTGGTTTGCTTGTTTACTCTGGGCACATTTGAGTCCTGTCTCTCTCCCCTTCTAGGTCCCGCGGCAGTGCTGGTGGCCATGGTTCCCGTAGCCAGAAGGAGTTGCCTACAGAGCCCCCCTACACAGCATACGTAGGAAATCTACCTTTTAACACGGTGCAGGGTGACATAGATGCGATCTTTAAGGATCTCAGCATAAGGAGTGTACGGCTAGTCAGAGACAAAGACACAGACAAATTTAAAGGTGAGTTTGGGGGGTTCTTATTGTATATAACTGTAAAGGGTGGGGGAGGATGGGAACGGGTTCTAAATAAAAACAGATCAGTGAACCAGAGCCTCTAATCAGGAAAGTGTTTTAAAGATTTGCCTGGTCTGAGTAGCTGAAAGAAATGTAGCTCTTCAACTCAGGTCTTCAGTTCACTTAGGGGAAAATGTTTTCTATACAATGTAGTCTGTGAAATATGTGGCATTCACCCAAGTTCGTGGGCCTGACCTCCACAGCAGTCCTGTGTCTGCCAGTAATGGAGTTCCCCAGGAGAGAGGGGAACAGAGCCGAGAACTCTTAGGCATGTTCCACCTGGAATGCCGGGTAGATTTTTCTTGGTAGTGCAGGCATCCAGTTATTACAAAATCCAGAAGAGAAGCAGCCAGTGTTGTCAGTATGTGTTCGTAAATTTGGAGAGTGTGCTTGGGAGGGCTGGCTGAGATTTCAGAGGTGGTGTGTCTGTAGGGTGCGGGAAAGAGAGGAAGAGGAAGAAGGAATCCGAGCGGCATTCTGCCTGCAGGGCTTCCTGAAGGAAGTGTGCTTGGTATTTAAGTGCGTGATGCTGGGTCTTGGGGTGTTTGGTCCACATGTTCCACCAAGAAGCACATCTGTGACAGGTACGGAGTGACTTGTGGTGGGGAGCTGTCCCAGCAGTAGAGGAGGCCTTGCTGACCGGGGAGGTTTTGTGTGTCAGTGGCATTCTTAATCTTTTTGACTTCGGAATCTGAAGCCCCATGGAGTGTGTAATCAAACAGTGAAAGCAGATATGTCAGTTACACTTGTGGAAATAAGCTCCACAAGTTTGCTTGCTAGCAGGCATTAGGAATTCAACTTTGGGTAGAAATGCGTGGGTGAGCCTAGCCTTTGGGCTGGGTCAGTCGCCGCAGGCTTTGGAGTTTGGCTCATAGAACATCTTCACTTGCGCAGCTCTGGAGGGCGAGCTTCATGATGTGGCTCCTGCTGCCTCTGTGAAGCCGGGGTAGTGTTCTCCATGTTTCCCAAAGTTAAGTCCACTTAGGGAAGAGAGCTGGGGGGACATCCCTCCAGCCAAGG